ATTCTTCTCATCAGACCATGGAACATCCTCCAAAATTGATCACATCTTAGGTCACAAGTCTAACCTCAGCAAGTTTAAAAGAATAGAAATTATTCCTTGCATCTTCTTGGACCATAATGGAATAACAGTTGAACTCAGTAACAACAGGAATCTGCATATTCATACAAAAACATGGAAATGAAATAACCTTATGCTGAATGATAGCTGGGTCATAAACGAGATTTAAAAAGGACATTACCCAATTTTTGGAACTAAATGATAATGAAGATACAAATTATCAGAACCTCTGGGATACTCCAAAGGCAGTCCTAAGAGGGAAATTTATAGCACTGCAAGCCTTCCTCAAGAGAACGGAAAGAGAGGAAGTTAACAACTTAATGGGACATCTCAAACAACTGGAAAAGGAAGAATATTCCAACCCCAAACCCAGCAGAAGAAAATAACCAAAATTAGAGAAGAATTAAATGAAATTGAAAACAAAAGGATTATACAACAAATAAATCTGAAAGTTGGTTTTTTTTAAAAGGTCAATAAAATAGATAAACCTTTGGCTAACCTAACCAAGAATAAAAGAGTAAAATCTCTAATTTCATAGATCAGAAATGGCAAAGACGAAATAACAACAGACTCCTCAGAAATTAAAAAAATCCTTAATGAATATTACAAGAAACTCTATTCTCAGAAATACAAAAAATTGAAGGAAATAGACCAATACTTGGAAGCATGCCACCTTCATCAACTTAGCCAGAATGATGTGGAAATGTTGAACAGGCCTATATAAAGTGCTAAAATAGCATCAACTATACAAAATTTCCATAAAAAGGAAACTGGGGACCAGATGGCTTCACATCAGAAGTCTACCAAACCTTTAAAGAGAACTAGTACCTATATTATGTAACCTTTTCCAAAATATAGAAAAAGAAGGAATACTACCCAACACATTCTATGAAGCAAACAACACCTTGATCCTCAAACCAGGAAAAGACCCAACAAGAAAAGAAAATTACACACCAATATCACTAATGAATATTGTTGCAAACATATTCAACAAGATCCTAGCAAACAGAATCCAGCAACACATCAAACAAATTATATACACCATGACCAAGTGAGTTTTATCATAGGGTCTCAAGGCTGGTTCAATATCCGTAAATCTATAAATATAATTCATCACATAAAGAAAATAAAAAACAAATACTATATGTTTCTTTCAATTGATGCAGAAAAAGCATTTGATAACATCCAGCATCCCTTCATGATCAGAACACTTAAGAAAATGGGTATAGAAGAGACATTTCTTGAACTGATAGAGCCCATCTACAGCAAACCCACAGCCAATATTGTATTGAATGGAGTTAAATTGAAATCATTTCCACTCAGATCAAGAACCAGGCAAGGTTGCCCATTGTCTCCGCTGCTTTTCGACATTGTAATGGAAGGCTTAGCCATCGCAGTTAGGCAAGAAAATGCAATAAAGTGTATCCACATAGAGTCAGAAGAGATCAAACTTTCACTCTTTGCAGATCATATGATTGTATATCTGGAAAACACCAGGGATTCTACTACAAAACCCTTAGAAGTGATCAAGGAATACAGCAGCAGCTCAGATTACAAAATCAACACTCATAAATCAGTAGCCTTTATATATACCAACAGCAGCCAAGCTGAAAAAACAGTCAAAGACTCTATTCCATTCACAGTAGTGCCAAAGAAGATGAAATATTTGGGAGTTTACCTAACAAAGGATGTGAAAGATCTCTATAAAGAGAACTATGAAACTCTAAGAAAAGAAATAGCTGAAGATGTTAACAAATGGAAAAACATACCATGCTCATGGCTGAGAAGAATCAACATTGTTAAAATGTCCATATTACCCAAAGCAATATATAATTTTAGTGCAATCCCTATTAAAGCTCCACTGTCATACTTTAAAGATCACAAAGAAATAATACTTCATTTTATATGGAATCAGAAAAAACCTCATATAACCAAGACATTACTCAGAAATAAAAACAAATCAGGAGGAATCATGCTACTCGACCTCAGACTATACTATAAATTGATAGTGCTCAAAACTACATGGTACTGGCACAAAAATAGAGAGGTGGATGTATGGAACAAAATACAGAACCAAGAGATAAACCCAGCTACTTACCATTATTTGATCTTCAATAACCCCATTAAAAACATTCAGTAGGGAAAAGATTCCCTATTTAACAAATGGTGCTGGTGAACTGGCTGGTGACCTGTAGAAGACTGAAACTGGATCCACACCTTTCACCATTAAGTAAGATAAACTCTCACTAGATTAAAGATTTAAACTTAAGACATGAAAGTATAAAAATACTAGAAGAAAATGCAGGGAAAACACTTGAAGAAATCAGCCTGGGCAAATATTTTATGAGGAAGACCCCCCCAGACAATTGAAGCAACACCAAAAAATACATTACTGGGATCTGATCAAACTAAAAATCTTCTGTACAGCCAAGAACACAGTATGTAAAGCAAACAGACAGCCCTCAGAATGGGAGAGGATATTTGCAGATTATGTCTCCAACAAAGGTTTAATTACCAGAATCCACAGAGAACTCAACATATTATCAAGAAAAGAACAAGTGAACCCATGTCAGGGTGGGCAAGGGACTGGAAGAGAAACTTCTCTGAAGAAGACAGGCACACGGTGTACAGACACATGAAAAAATGCTCATCATCCTTAATCATCAGAGAAATGCAAATCAAAACTACTTTGAGATATCATCTAACCCCAGTAAGATTAGCCCTCATCACAAAATCCCCAAACCAGAGATGTTGGCATGGCTGTGGAGAAAAGGGAACTACACTGCTGGTGGGAATACAAACTAATACATTCCTTTTGGAAAGATGTTTGGAGATCACTTAGGGAATCTAAAAATAGACCTGCCATTCGATCCTTTAATTCCTCTACTAGGTATGTATCCAGAAGACCAAAAATCACTTTATAACAAAGGTATTTGCACCAGAATGTTCATTGCAGCCCAATTCATAATTTCTAAGTCATGAAAGAAGCCCAAGTGCCCATTGACCCATGAGTGGATCAATAAATTGTGGTATATATACACCATGGAATATTATGCAGCCTTAAAAGAAGATGAAGACTTTATGCCTCTTTCATGTTTACATGGATGGAGCTGGAACATATTCTTCTTAGCAAAGTATCTCAAGAATGGAAGAAAAAGTATCCAATGTACTCAGCCCTACTATGAAACCAATTTGTAGCTTTCATATGAAAAGTTTGTTTTCATATGAAACCCAACTATAGCTCAAGAAGAAGGGGAAAGAAGAGGGGGAAGGGAGGGAAGGGGAGTGATGGGTAGAGGGAGGGTAATTGGTAAGACCATATCTATGGTGCATTTTACAAGGGTACATGTTAAATTTACTAAGTGTAGAATATAAATATCTGAACACAATAACTTAAGAAAATGTGGTGAAGTCTATGTTAACCAGTTTGATGAAAATATTTTAAATGGTATATAAAACCAGCACATTGTACCCCATGATTGCATTAATGTACACAGCTATGAGTTAATAAAAAATATATAAAATTAAAAAAAAAAGAAAATGCAGGTGCAGAACTGCTATAAAGAAATACAAGGACATATAATTGTGTTTAATTTTCATGGTGAAACACTAAGATGCACAAGGAACTATTAAAAATTAACCTAGAAACAAGATATCTTAACATAAATTTTCATAGTTTTTATTTTTGAAACTTGTGAATGCATTATTCACTGAAAAAATTAAAATTTCAAAATAAATGAGAACAAGGAAAGAAAAATTAAGTCATGTGGTCCAAGAGATACAATAAAATATCATAGGGATTCATCATAAATTCCATCATAAATAAAGGTAGAAAAATAATAGACATGGCAAAGCAGAAACATGAACAAAAGTGAATACCAACACAAGATATGAAGCTGAAGTTTCACCTGGCCAGCATATAAGAGGTTTGGATCATTGCCTTAGCCCCAGAATTTTCAACAGTGGCATTAGTGATATTTTGGGCAGGATACTTCTTTGTTGTAGAGGACTATACTGTGAAATATACAATGTTTAGTGGCCTTTATCCACTAGACAACAGTGGCCCACCTTTGCCCCAGTTGTGACAACCAAAATTATGTCTCCGGACATTGTCAAATAGGCAGGCGGGCACAAAAACCACCCTCAGTTGCTTTCATTTATATGAATAAAAAGATTTTCTGAACAGCTCATTAAAAATATTTCAAAAATTGTCTAGTGAATGTTTTCCTGGCAACTGGTCTCTATTTCAGAACTACTTTTTGTTGAGATATCAAATATTTCATATACTATTTTCCACTTCCTTTTTACTGATACCATAACCCTGACTCGGCCAGTATGCTATTTTGCAATTTCTTTTGAGTGACATTAGTGATTTATCAGAAATATTTTCCTTTTAATAGGATATTTAAATTGCTGAATCATTCAGTGTGATCTTAACTGGAAACTTTTTGTATGAGAGCCAATCTTTATTTATTTAATTATATTAAGAAATGGAAGTAAATACTGGAGTCCATGTATGTACATTTCAGTGGAGTTTCTTATATATAATTGAGTGGAAGAACATCTTTAATGTGTTTGAAGTAATCCTAATATTGACTTCCTTTTTTCTTTTTTTTTCACTTTCCCTGGGACTCAGGAATCCTTCAGAAGCCTTCAAGAAATCATCCAGGGAAGGATACACATTGTACCTGATTTAGGGTCTGGGCCTCACTAAAGCCTCAGCCCTTTGACATGCAAAGTGTGCCGCACAGCAGGAATCCTTAGGCATGCCTATGCATTAGGGTCAGCTGCCAACACAAACTTCTCCTGTGTTTGCCCCTTCGCCAAGGCTCAGGCTGCTAGCACACCAACCTCCTTCTTCTGGCTCCCCTGGTAACAAAAGCTAAGAGCTAGGTGGTATCCCACTCACCTGGTTACTGATAACTGATACTCAGACTGTGTGTGAGATGGGACGGACATCAAAGGACAAGCGTGATGTCTACTACCGCCTGGCCAAGGAAAATGGCTGGCGTGCCCGCAGCGCCTTCAAACTGCTACAGCTTGATGAACAATTCCAGCTTTTTCAAGGTGTGACACGGGCAGTTGACCTGTGTGCAGCCCCAGGCAGCTGGAGTCAGGTGCTGAGCCAGAAGATTGGAGGCCAGGGTTGTGGCCATGTGGTGGTGGCTGTGGACCTGCAGGCTATGGCTCCAATACCAGGGGTGGTACAGATCCAGGGAGATATCACCCAGCTATCCACTGCCAAGGAGATCATCCAGCATTTTGAGGGCTGCCCTGCGGACCTAGTAGTGTGCGACGGGGCTCCTGATGTAACTGGCCTCCATGATGTTGATGAGTATATGCAGGCCCAGCTCCTTCTAGCTGCTCTGAACATTGCTACACATGTCTTGAAGCCAGGGGGCTGCTTTGTGGCCAAGATATTCCGAGGCCGGGATGTGACGCTTCTCTACAGCCAGTTGCGTGTCTTCTTCTCCAGTGTGCTCTGTGCCAAGCCCAGGAGCAGCCGGAACTCCAGCATTGAGGCCTTTGCTGTCTGTCAGAGTTATGACCCTCCTGCAGGCTTCACTCCAGACTTAACCAGACCCTTGCTGGACCACTCTTATGACCCAGATTTCAACCAGCTGGATGGTCCCAGCCGCATCATTGTGCCTTTTGTGACCTGTGGGGACCTGAGCTCCTATGATTCAGATCGCAGCTACCCATTGGATCTAGAGGATGGCTCAGAGTACAAGTACACTCCACCCACACAGCCTCCCATCTCACCATCATACCAGGAGGCTTGCAGGTTGAAGAAGAAGGGGTGGCTGGCCAAGGAAATCCACCCCCAGCACCACCCCATCAGCAGAGTAGACACATTGCCCCAGCCCCTGGCCACCCCTGAGTCCCACACCCTGCTGGCCCCTGAGATGGAAGACAACTGAATGCATTGTTCACCTTAAGCTTGCATAGCATACAACTCAGAAACTGCTCACTATCAGGAAAACCGGAACTTGGGTTGATGAACTTGTTTTCAAATATCTCATCAACGAGGCCTGAATGAACAAGCCGAGTAGGGATCTGCATCAATCATCATGAAGACAATAAGGAAAGAAACACACCACAGAAATCTGTCTGTGCTGCAATAGGAATTCCTGAAGCAAATCCAACCTGGAATTTGGAGACTGGTCCACAGATTACAGCATAACCACCTGCATGAACTTCCTGTCAAATCTCCCTCCTTGCTGTTGG